AAAACAACATATTTTGTCGGATGCTAGTTACAAAAGACGTATGAGGACATTTCTTGATCGTCTATGTCTTTTACTTTGAAGAATGGGCACGCATGCATGCACGCACATACATATAAAGCAATCACCAAATAAATTGCCCTGACATTTTAGCTCTATTATAATTATAAATGAATTTGGAATACTCATAAAGGTCTAATTCCTAGAAAAAAATTATTTGATAATTGAAATTTATTTTATTAATTATATTATTATTCTGAACGCCTTATTGGAATAATGAAAAAAGACACTTTTTTGAAACATTAAAATATTCCAATCACTGAAAATTTTAAGGAGACTACGCAAATATATTGAGAGATATACTCCAAATCTAAGTTTGTTTTGACACCTACTGTTAATTAGTTTGGTCAAGAGAATTGTTTATTATCTGCAGGTAGAAACCTGGCCGTTTATCAAAATGCGTTACAGTCCAGCGATTTCTCGGACAAATGGTTGGCTACTAATGCTGTGGACGGGAACAGGAGTGGTAAGAGTAAAGACCACTGTTCTCACACTGCTAACAATGATGCCTCTCCAACATGGAGTCTTTCATTCTCAAAACCGTATTTAATCAACAGATATGTTTTGTACAACAGATTAGGTCAGTATGTTGTGTTCATATTAATGTAACATTTTGAGTAAATATTGATGGCTAATAAATATGAATAAAACCACATCACTATCTTTATTTATGCAAGTTCAAAGAATACCGTCTTTTGAAATTCCTTTCATGATGAGAAAACTATTGTTAACAAATTCTATTTAGACAAACTAGAATATTTAGACCGATTAGCAGTGAAATTGATATACATTTTAATGTCAACAGTTTAAAAATTCTTCTGTTTGTAATGTAATAATTTAATAGTTAATTTTCATAAATTTTTTTGTATTTTTTAATTATAGTAACATTCTAAGATATGTTTATAACAGAACAAATTGTAATAAACCAAACCAAATCTTAAGATCACATTATCATATGTTTATCTAGAAACGTGTTGCCAGAAGCGTCTCACAGGTTTTCTACTTACCAGCTTTGATTCAGACGGCAACCTAGTTTTAAACAGGACAGGTCCAACACAGGAATCCAACTATTACGTTGTAACAACGCCATCCTACAAGTCAGTCAAACAAGTTAACATAAGGGCCACGTTTAAAAATGTTACAAGTGGAAACGTCGTGTTATCACTGTGTGAAGTGGAGACTTTTGGAGGTGGGTGACGTCAATTTCAACTCTAATTTCATGTCAATATTTTAATGTTTGGTAACGAATGAAGAATCGGGCAAAAAAATCAATGAAGAATTTTTTGAGCGGTTAAAATTTGGCATTTAAGTGTAATACCAGGTTTATTAAAAAAAATAAAATAATAACCTTATTGTATTAATTGAATGTAATGTGTCATAAGTGGCACCACTTATGTCAGCAATTATGAATTATTTGTAAAATGTATTTTAATAGTTATGTTCCATAAATTGCTTAGGGTGGAAGAAATGCTTGACTGGCCCTGGCAAATGTCTGAATCCGGAGATCCACTTTCTAGTTTTAACTTATATAAACTTTACAAATAAATTAAAATAATCAGCATGTTGCTCTGCGTTTAGGTCGGTCATGAACGTGTAATGTAAGCTTTTATTCTGTGCAAATGAACGTCTTTCCAGTGCCCGGTGCTTAAGATAGTTTTGGTCATTACATGAGAACATTGTGGTGCGTGTTCATTAACTTGACGTCTAGACGGAGTAAAACATAATATTATTGAATATTCCTTGCTAGACCAAGGTGGGAAGCATTTTCTTTTTCCAAACTAGCGACAGTTGTGACAAATGAAAAGTAAGGTTCGGCATGACATGAATAAATCAAATGAGAGTATATACCGGCGCCTCCGCTAGTTTATATTTAGTATTTCTTTTGGCTAATCAAAAGAAGAAGCTACGATAATTATATGATTTTAAAAATATTTTCAGACTGTGAGATTGGTTGGTATGGTCTCGACTGCCAGAACAAGTGCCATTGTGCTGAAAATAATTGTGATATATCTGGTAACTGTATGGAAGGCTCATCTTGTGTCAAGGGATGGTCTGGTCCAGCTTGTCAGAATCGTAAGTCATTTTGTAAATGCAAGGCCTAGATCAGCGGTTCTCAACATTTGGGTCACGACCCCTTCTGGGGTCGCGCGACCCTTTTCGAGGGGTCACCTAAGACCATCTGAAAACACATAACCTTACAGTAATGAAGTAGCAACGAAAATAATCGTGTTGCTGGTGGTCGCCAAGACACGAGAAACTGTATTTAAGGGTCGCGGCACTAGGAAGGTTGAGCACAACTGGCCTAGATTATCTTATGCGAAGTAAAAATCTAATTGAAATAAGATCCAAAATGAACTAGATCACTTATTATTTCCTGCAATGATAATTTACGAATCGAACGCGTCTGTTTGACAAATAAGTAATTTCTTCAAAGTGTAATAAATTAAGTATCGCATTCAAGCTGTGTGAACCATACAGTGAAACAATGTATGTGGAAGATGGAAATATATTTTCTTTTTAAATTTGTTTACTTAAAAAAAATCTTTTACAGTACAAGTCTCATTTGTAAACAATATAAATATTTTACGAGCTTTATTATGAAGAAAGATATGTGCATTAAATATCAGGACTTAATGAAAATGAATATTATAAGATAACATTTAGTTAGCGTGTACATTGCAACGCAATATAAGATCGATGTTCAACAATATATTATTATATATTTATTTATTTATTTATATCGATGTATGGTTGATAACTGTAGAAAAAAATTCGAAACCTTTTGTAAAATTGGATGCTGGTATATTAGCAAGGTATGTTTACTGCTTTTTCCTTTTCTTCGTTTTATTTTCATGACATAAAAAATGAATGTTGCACTAAAATGTCATTTTCCTATTCATTTAAACAAAATTACAAAACCAAAAACGTTTCCCTATAATGCATGCTGTGTCAAACGGGTTGCTCAAAGAATTGTAAGGACCAGAGTTGTGACGCAGTCCGTGGAAGTTGCTCCAGTTGTATCCCTGGTTACATGGGAGAGAATTGTCGGATAGGTAGCTGCTTATTGTGCTAAAAAATAAATCAATTACAGATAGTTGTTTACTGTGCCTTAAAATTAAAAAAAAAAAGAGTGTTGTTGTTTAATGTGCCATATCAATCAATGTGAGCAAGTTGCTTTCCATTCTACAAATATAAATCAATGAGATATAATTATCTGTTTACTGTTCTTCTTTTTCTTCTGCCTTGTCCACCTGTACAGGGGAGGAGTCGCGGAGCGTTCATAGTAGCGATCTGCCCGATGGCGGAAAGCCTGCTAAAGGTTCATGCTGCTCACTTTGTGAGCTTTTAACACAGTAGTTCCACAGTACCTCCAAATTTAGACTTTTAAAGCAGGTTGATAAGCATTCCTAAAAAAATGTCAGAGCCATTAATGTTTTGTCTAGCCATATACTGGCTGAACGTGATGAAACCAATAATTTGTCTAATATCCATATTCCGATTGTGATTTCTTCTCGTTTTACCATAAAACAAATCTTTTGAGGCTACGCACATCACTGAAACAGCTTCTATAGAGAAACCTAATGTTGCAGTGTAGCGGTCCAGTCAATACGTAGGTGTCAACACCATTCAGAGAGTATTCCCGTCAACGAAGACGACAACGTTATCCTTGTCGACGAAAATATGTTACACACTTTTTTCGCACATTTTTCGGAGGACGATTAAAATGTATCCCTGCAAAATCTTCCTGTTCCGAAGGCGACAGTGGACAATATTAAGATGTCGTTCAACGCGACAGTGGACAATATTAAGATGTCGTTCAACGCGACAGTGGACAATATTAAGATGTCGTTCAACGCGACAGTGGACAATATTAAGATGTCGTTCAACGCGACAGTGGACAATATTAAGATGTCGTTCAACGCGACAGTGGACAATATTAAGATGTCGTTCAACGCGACAGTGGACAATATTAAGATGTCGTTCAACGCGACAGTGGACAATATTAAGATGTCGTTCAACGCGACAGTGGACAATATTAAGATGTCGTTCAACGCGACAGTGGACAATATTAAGATGTCGTTCAACTTTATCATGTGTTATCTCTTCCCCAGAAGTGACATATTTAGTTTATCAGTGTGATAGGAGGAAGATGCTGATATACATGCTGCTGTATATTTATGCCCTTTCCTATTCCATTTGAGTCTAATTTCTTTCTGCACTTTTAGGCTTAGGGCCACTTTATTCTGATCCCTTAATTTCTAATGATGACTTCTGTGATAATCCTACGTTATGGCATCTCGGACCTCTTCTTCAGTTAGGTGGGCTCTTGTGTGCTCTGTATACATGGGATGAAGCCTATTTATGTTAAACGACATTAGAAATTAATACACTCATCTTGGTTTGACTTTATTTTCATAAAAAAATACGTTGCTCATTGATTATGTACCCTGTTCTTTATGAACCAATTTTAGATAGGTATTTAATTAATTTGTTATTGATTAAATCAAACTTTTGTGAGCTAAGTAGTTGTTCAATGTTTCAAATTTATCATTATGCGCTAGAATGGCGATAGGCAGTTGGTGATTGTTGTAAGAAAATCAGCATGAGAAAGGTAGTTGTCAATTGTTTTATATAATTCGATAATTTGCTGTCATTTTAATGAATCATAATTGTATTTAGAATCCTTAAATTCTTTATATTAGTGTAAATCTGCTTGACAGTGCCGACATTTGAATAGCAATACACCTCCTTGGCTAATTGAAATGTTAATGAATCATCCAATACATCAAGCTATTTGAAAAAAGTGCTTCAAAGTTGATACTATACATCTTGGAATTTCTTTTGTTTTTAATTGCAATTAAAAACACCGTATCTTTTATAAGTATAATTATTTAAAACCTTTTTTTTTTAAATTACAAAGAAAACGTGTATATATTTATAGCATGTGCCTCTTTGTCTACGGTTCTTCAGTATGCAATGAGACCTACTTTGGAGAAAACTGTCAAAACAAGTGTCCCGTTTTCTGCCATGAAAATAAATGTGATCGATTTAACGGAAGTTGCTTCGAGTGTAGACCAGGCTACAGAGGAGACAAGTGTGATAAAAGTAAGCATAGTAGATTTTCGGATACTTTTAGATACATTTTAAGTTTGTTACTCTCTAACATTGTACTGTTTTTCAAACAAACGTTTTTTTTTTTGCCGTTAATCACTCCGTGTATAAATCATGACTTACGACGCAGGTATTTACATTGTTTTCATTTAGAATGTGGTCCGAAGTTTTATGGAAAAAGCTGTAAAGTCAAATGTAGCTCTGAATGTTTTAATCAAGAATGTGATCATGTAAAGGGAACATGTCAAGTGTGTCCACCAGGAAAACGAGGAGATTTTTGTGACAAAGGTAAATCGTTAGTTGCGCAAATCACTGCAAACCTATAATGTGAGCCTGGCGAATTTTCAATAAATAGTAATACTACACACCGGAATAAGACATTTAAGACTAACAATGTCATCTTATTTAACACTCAAAAAATGATTTATAGAATCTCAAAAATCATTATTGTTATTTTTTTCAAAAGAAATTTAAGTCATCCTGGACTCTTTTAAATATTTATATTTAACAACTTATTTCTTAGTGAAGTTACTTCTGGCGATGCTACATTTTTTTACATATCCCAATATGATGTTTTATATTCCCGAAAATAAATGTAAAGTGAAACGTGTCATTTATCAAATTTCCCCAAAAAATGTTTCTGTTAATTTACGAACAAATAAGGAACATGTCACACGTTTTTGAACTACATTGATAGACACAAAGGAAATAATGCATGAAATTGTCTTACATTTTGGGAAAGTATTACTATATTTACCTTTCTCATGAACAATTATCATATTTAAAACATTGTGAGGAAGCTACTAGTAAAGTAATATATCGATTTTCTTACAATTTTTTAAGAAGTAGAATAGCATTAAGAGCATTGATGTTACCAAAGAATGTGTAGAACTCGAGTTTCTATTGATAGTGTTTTTTTTAAAATCCAAACACAGAATGTAAGAAAGGCTTTTTCGGCGATGGTTGTAAGACTCAGTGTTCCATCAACTGTGATGGAAGTGATGGCTGTGATCCAACCAATGGCAAATGTTTAAAGGGTTGTGTTCATGGCTATCAAGGAGCTACTTGCAACGAAAGTAGGTCGTTTTTGATTGGCTTGTTAAGGACATTTTGACAACTGTAAGTGTTGCACATTACCGAGTAATAAGACAATTTAGACAACTGTAAACACTTCAATCACAAAGTAATAATTAAATTTAGTTGTTTATTAGTTTTTCAAAGCAAACATTTAATGACGCAATTCATTCCTACCTTTAGTGTTTGAAAGCTATGAGAAATCAGGCAGTTAAGATAACTGTAAGTGATTCAAAGCCCCAAGTAATGAGAGAATTTATTCAGCTTGAACTTTTTCAAAGCACCCATTAATGACACAATTTAGTATACCGTAAGTGTTTCAAATTCCCCAAGTAATGAGATAATTTAGATAACTGTCAGTGTTTCAGTGCATATATACATTATTATTTACTTCATAATTCTCTCTGTCCCCCCCCCCCACTTTTTTTGCGGCTTTTGTATTTCCTCAAGAATGAAATTTAAAGAGAAGGAAACACAAATACAAAGACCCATTTGTTTATATATATAATGGTTGGACGAAATAACAAGGTCTATGATTTTGTATTAGTAAAGAAAAATCTCGTTCCGTAATCTGAAGCTATTGTTGCTATTCTGGGCAAAACTGTGAATGGAATTTATCGCAAAGCCGCCTAGGCAACTTTCTGCCGTTTGCATTTTTTACTATTAAAACTCAATAAAAAAAATATGTTTTTGTTTTACAGTCTTTGAACAGTCACTGGGATTGATCATTTGAATTGGAAAAAAATGTTGAGAATTTTGGAGCTCGTATCGAATTTGTAATCGCTTGTCATCAGCTTTGTAAATTCAACAATGTCCTAACAACACTAAAGTTTAAATCATAAATATTCACAGTGAGCCCTCGAAAATATAAAACTAATAATACCATGACTATGGAATAGAATAAGGTCTAAAGGGGGCGAAGGGGGCTTCGACCGCTCTTGGGAGTGGGGGGGGGGGGGAATAGACTCCCATGATAATCAAGGTTAATGTGTTGATTTTGTTGTCAAATGTCTTGACACATATTCATGGCACACGTCCCCGCTTGCTGAAGTTCAAGATATTGGGAGGGGGGGGGGGGGGAATAGACTCCCATGATAATCAAGGTTAATGTGTTGATTTTGTTGTCAAATGTCTTGACACATATTCATGGCACACGTCCCCGCTTGCTGAAGTTCAAGATACTGATAGTCCAGGTGGATTGGACTCAAAAAGTAACATGTCTATAAAACCTCTTACTAAAAAGCTGTATCCTTGTGGGTATAGACCCTATGGTTAAAAGCTTAGGAAGTTGATGAAAGTAACATCTGGAGATAGGGCCCAGTAGGCGTAATGACTTTGTACACAATGAAAATTTGAAATAATTGTTGGTCAAGTGAAGTGACGATCTCTTAGTATAGTGGTTTTGTACGGGGGAGGATCTGTTGACTGGGGAAAAATATTTGTGATCATTGGCATAGGAAAAGGGGGGTTAGGGTGAAGGAACAGTTTTGCGGCACATTTCATTCTTTGCACTGAAAAGTGGCATGTTCCATAAATTGCACACATTTTTTTTTCGCCGAGGATAAGGGCAAAAAATGAACCAATCTCGGGTGACATTAACCCTAGCTATATACGCCACTGTTCGTACTTGTTCTTGGTCGTCCCGATTTAAATGCACAGCTGCAAAATGTATTTTTAAAATGGGATAATGTTACATGGAGCTTTAAGTTGTATTAAATGAAAACGACGTAAACAATTTTTCTATGTTTATTTTTATCGTAAAACTAAAGACGCCTTATTTGTTACACGAAATAGTGGAACGAGCTATGTTAACGCTTAAATCAAAAGACATAACTATAAGATGTGAACATTTTGGCTTTAGAGATCTCCTTTGTTGTTGTAGGAAGTCTAAGTTGTTGTTTTTTTACTATTCTCTGTTTCTCTTCGTGATGTTATTTGTGCTTTTTGCAGAAGAAGGCTCTACGCCTTCTGTTCACAACCCGTGGGTCGCGAACCCTTTATGGTTGAACGACCCTTTTACAGGGGTCGCCTAAGACCATCGGAGAACACATATGGTATACAGTTATGAAGTATGAAAGAAACTAATTTTGTGGTTGGGGGGTCGCCAAATCACGATAAACTGTATTAAAGTGTAGTGGCATTAAGAAGGTTAAGAACCACTGCTTTTAGCTGAAACGTGCACATCGTATTGTCCTGTCGTTTAATTAAAGCTTCAACATACCTTGTTCTACTGTTTCATTCACACAGCTTGAATTCAGTTCTTTAATTGTTAACTTTTACTTGTTAAAGAATGCAGCCCTGGCCAGTATGGACAGAACTGTGCCTTCAACTGCAGCGAGGAATGCTTTAGAAATGCGACACAGCGATGGTGCAATGTTACGGATGGCATGTGCTTGTTGGGATGCGCCCAAACGCCTTATTTAAACCAACGAAATGAGTGTCAACTCTTTTGTGGTTCGTACTTTTATGGGTTTTTGAATTGTCGTGTACTAATTAATATGTGATCAATAAACGTTTTTTAAAGACGTTGTATATGTTTTCAGATGCAGCCAAAAGTCATTGCCATCACTATCTCCATATTTAATTCAGAATGTCCCATCCACACCATCAACATACCACCCTCAGACTGTGCACCTGCTTCTCACAATCCACACAAAATATGTATACATGGACTCTATACCCTCTAACATATATTAACACTTAATTCGCCTTTGCAAAGTCTTTCGCTTACTACCTCGTCGAGTATTATGGATCGCAATCCGGGATCCCGAATTTCGAAAATACCGGAATACCGGACTATAACGATGCACCGAAACACTGGGATTGGAAAATATGAAAACCAGGATTTTTGAATTTCCAGGGATTTCATTTTCAAAAAAAAATATGTATCGCTTTTCTTAGTTTCCATGTCGTAGTTAAAGCAAGACATACCTATAATTAATGTCCTATGGAAAGTGTGAGCCCCTCACCATGTGTCTCAAGTTTAAAGAGAGCCGACCGATGGGCTAACTCTGTGTTATGTTCATTACTCAAGAATCATGGCACTGTGATTAATTTTGTTTTTACATCGTGCGTGTGTAGCGTGTAGGTGGAGACGTGAGTCGCGGCCTTGAAGGTACAGGATTGGTAAGGAATTATTTTCATATAATGTTTAATGAGTAATTGGTATAGTAGAATGAAGATAAAAAAAATGTTGACTTGCATTAAGAGTTTGTTTGAGACCTGATTTACATGGAAATAATAACACGTTACACTCGAAGAAAGGGTAACATTTAAATAACAAAAACATTTGATTGCTTGATTTAATTATGCCAAATTTAAAACTATGAGTAAATCCATACTTTGCTAATCAAATACCTTAAGTTTAATAAATATATAATTATGTCACTTCTACTTTGTAATATTAATATTAATAATTCATATTCACCTCATAATTGATTTTCGAGCTATTTTGTCCCAGGCTGAATGTCCCAGTTTGTCTGTATCGTACTTAGCCAAACATTTACATGAATACTTACACATTTAAAAAAAAATGTGTACACGTCAAACCAATTCGATTTAATAAATAACGTTTTGTTAATGATTTATTTTCCCTTCAGGTGATGGAAAGAAATGAGGGACGCTGAAAAGAATAATCCTAAATAGTAAAATCAGATGAAATTATTGGAAACAAAGAAATCAGTTTGGTATTATTTATTGAAAGCTACTGAAATATCTCAGCTAAAGGTAACAACATGCTTAAAACATTGCTAGGCGCAACTTCAGACGTTAAAACTCATTTAAAGGCTGCACATTCTACTGTTTTGAAAGATATTGCCATTTCTGGTACCGGTACTCCAAGGGCATTGATTTCTACGGCATCTCGATCTAAAACTTTCACCGACCCAGAAGATAAAACACAACTTAAAAAGAGCAACTTAACAAACTATTTTTCTAGTTCAAACAGTTTAGAAGGATCAGTCTCTCATATGGCAGCTTTAGATCGTCTTCCAAAAAAGTTTTTTCATTACTTCTAATGATCAAAGAAAAATCATAAAGCAATGTGGCTACAATTTGCCTACATTTTCTAATTCAATAACAAAGATGGTGATGAAGCATAGTGAGACTGTAAAAACCTCATTGATTAATAAACTGAAAGAAGAAAGTGTTGGACTGTCTCTAACAGAGAATGAATGGACGAATTTGGGAAATCGTCGCTTTATGAACGTTAACATTCATAGCCCTATTTTAATCAATGAATGTGTAAATCTTGGCCCAGTATGAGTGATTGGCAGCATGTTGGCCAGAATTTGTTTACAATTGTTGAAATGTCATTGAAAGATGATATAGTCTGATATAGACGTTAGAAAGTGTAATGAGACAAACTAACACACATGTCTTGTAAAAGGTCTGAGATTACTCTCTTATGACCCCGGCTAGTAAAGTGGCTATCAACTCCATCTGTTGAGGTGAGCCATACTACATTTTCCTCATAAAGGATCCTCCAACCGCACTGGCTTCCCCGGGAAATCTAGTAAGGGACATTCGGTCAACACATGCTCCAGAGTCTCCGGGTCTAGGCAGTTAGGATCCCTGTTGTTATCCAACGACCAGAAGTATGTAGCAATTGGGGAATGCTCGGTGCGCATCTGCGTCACTAAGCTCTGCTGTCTGCGGCCTAACTCATCAATGATGACGTCGACCAAAATTTTGGTGCCCTGTCTCATTCCCAAGATCTCGAGAGCAGATTCCCAAGATCTCGAGAGCAGATCTTGAGTCCAAGTAGACGACTAAAGCGAGCCTCTCATGCTCCTTTCCTTTCAAAGTTTCATGTATTCTCGAGGGCCCTGTAAATAGCCATAAGCTCCGAATCATGGTCCCACATGGTCCCGAGAGCTCTTCTGTTGGTGGTCCTCCTGCTGGGTACAATATGAGCGCACCATACCCAACAGTTCTTTCTCTCAGACTGGCAGAGACATCCGTGAACACTTTCACAGGTATGTGTGCGAACACATCCATGGTCTC